TGTGCTTGAAAGCATGCGAGGCCCTTTCAAACCCATGCACTGCGTTTGCAAATGGGGGGGCCTCTAGAAACTCAGAAATGCCGCTATTTACAGTATTTGCCGCTTCTGCACGCACAGAAATGCTGCTATTTACAATACCTACAGCTTCTGCGTGCAAAGAATTGCGTCCATCTACAGCTTTCGCGGCTTCTGCACGCAAGGAGATGCTGCTATTGACAATATTTGCTGCTTCTGTACGCAAAAATGCTGCTAGTTGCAGTCTTCTTGCGGTCCTGCATGCAAAGGAACGCAGCGATTAACACTATGTGCAGCTTCTGCACGCAAAGAAATACCTCTATGTGTAGTATTTGCGACGGAACCCCAAAACCACGAAAAATACGAAACAAAATCAAGAAAAAATACGAAAAACAAACCTGGACCCAGCCGCCAACCTCCCTCAACCTCTAAACCCTAAACCCGAACGAAAGCCTGAGGCCCCCTCAAAAAATGCCTCCGAACTTCTGTTCTGCAAGCCCTTGTAACCCATCTGCTCTGCTGTAGAATCCAGAAAACTCTAAACATCTCGAAACCCTAAATCCGAAACACAATCAGCCTCCCCAGAAACCCTACGATGTGAAGGCAACTTTACTGGCTACAACCGCCCTGTTGGGATGAAAGATTCTTGGGCCTGTTCCTTTGTAGAGCTTCGGGTTTAGGACTTTGTGAGTTTAGGGTTTAGGGTTCCGGGTTGAGGGCTTTGGGGTTTAGAGTCTAGGGTTCAGGGTTTGGGGGATGTGGGGACTTACCCAAAGAATCCAAGTAGCTGTAGGGGGGAAACTACTTGCACGAATCGTTAGACGATTCCCTGAGATAGAAGCCCCAATTTCTACGATGTAGGTGGTTAGGACTTAGGACCACTTGGGTCATCAAGTGGATCGCGCAGTTCATGTATGGTTTTTGTAGAGTCTGGATGTAGCTTTTTAACCTACGCGGAGATTGTTAGGATGTAGGGTTTACAAGTCGAGGTTTTAAAGTTTAAAGGTTGAGCTTTTGAGGTTCACACTTTCGGATTTGGGGAGCTCTGGTAGGGGCGGTATACCGAGGACCACTACAAAATGTGGATGTATGGACCCTGGGTGGACATCCTCTGCTACTGGCCGATCACTTCCTCGAGCCTTGAGGAACCGACCACAAGCCAAAGCAGCTTTGGTCTGGAGGCGGCTTAGGGTTCAGGGTTCGGCCTTAATAATTAGAGTAGTGTTTTGGGGCCCATTATACTATAAGCATAATGAGGAACCCCCAAAATAAGTATAGGTAATTATTTAGGCCTCTTTAGGGTGTAGGGTTTAGGCTCTGTATACCCAAAGCCCGAAACCTTGAAGTTTGACCCTTGGCCCTAAACCCAAACTTGTGGGTTTTATTACTTATCGTCCCTGAGGGTCAGTGACCTAGATCCTGTCAAACACCGTAGCCTTCGTTCGTGAGTTCCGAAGCCGCTGCACCCTAAGCCAGCTTTTGAACCTCGATTTGTTCAGGTTGCTCAGAATCTTTTCTTTTGCGAGCAGCGCTTGCATACACCGGCCCCCATCAGTGTTGTCGTCATCACCGCCCCGCCCCCCTACAACATCCGCATGTTAAATCAGCCAACCTGTCCTTGGCCTCTGCTAGCTCTAACAGTTGTCACGGTCGCTGCCACCACCCCTGGCGGACATCATACTCTGATATTGATCGTATGTATCAAGAATATGAAGACTGACCCTACACCCTACTTACACATTGCTTCCGGCATAGGTGACACCACCCGGCGAGCAGAATCTGCAGCAGGTGTTGTTGCAGAAACCACCTATGACTCAGCCGCAGGCACTCTTTGCAAACAGCACCATGGCCGCTGAGATAGGGTTTAGGGTTCATGCTTTAGGGATTAGGGTTTCCGGAGTCCAAGCTTTGAACGGGACTTAGTGACTTAGTAGTCTGTTTACTTGGTGGTCGAGATTTCGTTTGGCCTCAGGCCCCAGGTGTTGGTATGGTTAGGGTTCAGGGTTTAGGGTTTAGGGTTTAGGGTTTAGGGTTTAGGGTTTAGGGTTTAGGGTTTTGGTTCTCTCCAGTTGCTGCGTCTAGGTTGTGCCGGTCTTCAAGAGTTCTGTAGTCTTGAGCCCTGGGGTGCATAGACCCTGGAGGGCCTGTGGTGACTACTTGGAAGGACTTCTAAGTATAAGTACCCTGAAGGGGGTCCTAATTGGGGTTTTGATTCAGTTCTGATACTTTTAAGTCTATAAGACAACTACTTACACCAAGTCCCCGACCCTCCAAGCAAGTATAGTCCTGCTGGCCACCTGCCTGTCCCTGAACTAGAGCTACACTTGATGTTCAGCGGGACACTTGGATGAGATGTCAGGCAGGGGCGCATCAAAACCTTTCTTGGAGATGCCTACCACTGCTCGGCCCCTGAACAATATCAACATAGCACCACTTGGGGATCCTACCCAAAACTCAACTTTCCTCATCCACCTACGAATTCCCTAGGATTAGGGTGGAGGTCTCAGGGTTTCCGGACTCGCGTAAGGTACGGTAGTGCTTGGGGGGGTATGGCTTAGGTTGTTTTGGTGAAGGTTCAGGGGTGCTTGTAAGTGGGGTTTCACATTTCGTGAAGAAGTATAGTTGCAATGTAAATGTAGACTCCGTTGCAGATTCGAGCTACAGAAAGTCTGAACCTACTCAGATTTGCCGCTCTTTTGAGGCGTGGGGTTCAGGCGCGAAGATCTAGAGTTCAGGACTTATAGGGGTGTGTGGGGCTCTTCAAGCACAAAGCAATCCAGTGCATCAGAGAACCCCTCGAATTGTACAGGCCCCTAAATAGACCTCTAGCCCTAAACCCCATTCGCAAAAGATCCTGAAATGAAGGCCCCTCTTATCCGACCGCTAAGCCCTAAACCCTACCAGACCCTTAAATCTTAAGCTCTAAATCGCAGTATTAATGTTAAGGTCTCTATATTAGACCCTTGAAGCCCTTGACCCCAGGCATGAGTGTTTGGGCTGGTGTCCTTCCTCTCATCTTCGGATGGTGTATCCTTGTCGCGCTACGCTGCCTCCGCTCTTGTCGGTAGAAATTGGGCCACGCCGCAGCTCTGCAGGTTTAGGGAGGTCGGGCCTTGGGTGTAACTATCCAGATCTTCGAATACCCCTTAAATAGCGAATTGTCCCTAAATTATGGTAGGATCCCCAATGTGACTTAAGGTACATTCCCTAATCAGGGGATTTCGACAGATCTGGCTAGTTTCGGGTTTAGGGTTGAGGTTCTGAGACGCCGGCCGTGAGTTCTTTTGTTTGTTCGTTTGGATGCTTACCGCTAGATTTTCAGATCACCTCAAAAATGTCCTTAAAACCCTAAACCCTAAACCCTTTCAGATCACCGGAAAAATGTCTTCGAATTTGTGGGGGTTGGCACTTGTGACTGGGAGGCCTCGAGCTTTGTGCACAATGTTCTGGCGAATATTGCAAGATTTTCTGACATCCAAAACACCCTAAGGGTCCATGTAGACGAATAGTATATACTTTGGCCCCAAAGTACCTATATAGGGACTACTTTAAGGCCAAAGTATATACTATTTTGGTACATGGACCCTTTGGCAAATAGCAAAATCAGCAACTTTTCCAGCTCGCCACTTCGGTTTGTTTGCCCGCGACACACAGAGGAGAGGGAGGCACGTTAAGCATAAACCCTAAACCACACCATCAGCACCGACTTGCCCGCAATTCTGAGTCGTAAGCTGTGGCCAGTATATTCGAGTCTTTGGCAAGCCAAACTTCTCTGGTGCTGCACCGCATTTCCAGGATGTTTGCAGCACTTGATGCCTTGACATGTTCCCATGCTCCTTGTAAGCATGCAGCCGTAAACCCTAAAGGTCTAAACCCCAAATCAAAAACTACTAAACTCCAAACCCAAACCTCTGAACCCTAAACCCTAAGCCCGAAACACAAAACCCTAAACCTCTTAGCCCGAAACCCAAAACCCTGAACCACTAAACCCCGTACTCCGCCTGAAACCACTACCAGTCAGCAGGGCTGCGGCGAGTGGCTCCCTTTGACGGCCGGCCGGCAGCGATGACGGTGGGGCCTCTTCCTGTAGGGATATTTTTTTTGGATTTCGACACGGTTTGGATTTGATTTCAGGAATCCTTCCGGTTACGATTTTCTTACTGTTTTCGATTTGGATACGGTTTGGATTCATCCAGGACCGGTTTTGATGTGTTTGCTTTGTTTTTGATATGGTTTTCGGACTTGCAGCCGAGCTGCTTTCCAAGCCGTACTTTCCCGCGTAGCCGTATTGAAATCGTGACCAGGACCGTATCAAAATCGTAAACTGAACCATAGGACAACCCTAACCCTAAAATAATCATAAACAAAAATTCCCGGCGCATACCCTGACTTTCCCAATAGTGGAAGTCCCAGCCCTAAACCGCAACCCCAACACCCCAAAAAACCTAATCCCCCGGGCAGCCCCGCAGCCAAAGTCCACACCGCAAGGACCTCAGCGGCCCTGAGCTCCTCGCAGCGGTCGCCAGGGCCGAGACTGCGGCCGAAGAGGCCGGCGATGGGGTCCAAAGTAGAATCTTTCATGGGGGTTCCCGTGAGGGTTCCTTAAAGGGATCTATAGGGATGTTGGGGCCTTACCGGGGTGTAGTAGGGTTTAGGATCCAGAAGTAGAACCCCTAATTTGGGACTTGGGGTTTATAAGGGTTTAGGGTTTTTCGGGTTTGGAAAGTAGAACCTCTAAGTTTGGCACCTTATACTACAAAAGGCTCTTTATAGGAACCCCCATTAAGGGATCTACTTTTTGGGTCTGGGTTGAGGGGTTTTAAAGGGATCCTTTACAGGACCCCTTAAAAGGAACCCTATCACCCTAAGCCCCCGAAGGGGATCTCCAAAACCTCTAAGGTTCAGGTGTTTAGGGTTTATGGGAGTTTTGGGGGTCGAGGGCGTTCGGGTCTTCGGGTTTAGGGTCGCGGCAAAGGCGAGCAAGGGTTTCTGAGGGCTGCTAGGATCTTTATAAGGGGACGCTGGGGGAGTATATGGGACCCCAACGTTGTCAAGAGTGGACAGCTTCGTGTTTAGGGTTGCTCAGGGTTTAGCTTAGGGTTTAGGGGTTTAGGGTTTAGGGGTTTAGGGTTTAGGGTTTAGGGGTTTGGGGTTTTAGGTCTTGTGGCTGTGGAAGTGGAGAGTTTGGGCGCAGAGTTTGTGTAGATGCAGGGCTGGGAGAACTTGGTCTTTGAAGCTCAGGTTTCTTGCAAGGCCTCCTGCTTCGACTCCAACTTCACACCTGCAATCATCTACATGCTCGACCCCGAAATCCAAAACTAAGCCCCCGGACCTGAAATCCTTGCAAATCCCAAGACTTTAAACCCTAAATACGAAACATCCCCCCAAACCCTGGGCCCTAAAACCTGGTCCGGGCCTATGGTCTCCATTTTAGTTCCTTTTTTGGGTTTAACCAGTTGTATATTAGGATCCTATAAGGTAACCCCCGAAAGGAAATGCGATGAAGACTATAGGGGGGGACCAAACCTATAGGTTGCTCTACGGTTCGCGGGCACATCATCGCAATCCTAAAAGAGGGTTCGGGTTAGGGGGTTTTTAGCCCCTATAGAGCTTGGGGGAGGGCGGGGGAGGGGGGGGGCTTGGGGCATTAGGGTTCTGGTTTAGGGGTTTAGGGNNGTTTAGGGTTTAGGGCCCAGGGTTAATTAACACCTAGTTCTATCGTACTCACAGCCACACTTATACTTAGAACTACCTATGCGCAGGCTTGCTAGTTCAGTTTGGATGCTTGCAACCTCTTGTAACAAGCAGTGGGCAAGCTAAGACCAATCTGAGCTGAACCCCCCCCCCTAAACCCTAAGCTATAAACC